AAAAAAAAAAAAAAAGAAAAAAGAAAATATCAGGCTCATGGTGAAATAAAATACTACTCTTTTCTTTCATCAGGTTGGACTTTAAATAAAGCAAAAATTTATCCAGTAAAGGGCTTTCATGAAGAAATTAAAGAGAGAAATGACAAGCAATAAAGAAACCAGGCATTTGTGTACCAGAGAAACCACCTAAAATAACTATACAGAATCAGACAAAAGGAATGAAGACACCTGGAAGACACTTTACCTAGTGTGATATTTTGTCCACCTTTTCATTATAAAGCCTGCTAAAGACAGAATATAGTTTTCTAGAGAATAAAGTGTGTAAGATAAAAATGGAGACCATAGTTTCTGAAATCCAAGTAGAAAACAAGGATGAGAAAAGATCAACAGAAGGTAGTCCTCAGGATGAAATACAGGAGAAAAAAGCATCCATGCTTTGCTTCAAGAGAAGAAAGAAGGCAGCCAAAGTCCGGAAACCCAAAGCTAACTCTGAAGCTGCTGATGTGGCAAGGAAGTGTCCCCCTGAAGGAGGAGCTTCTGATCAGCCACAGACCCCAGGGAGGGCCTGGGCCTCAATCAAAAGTCTTGTAACACGCAGGAAAACATCAGATTCTTTAAAGCAGCAAAAGCCATTTGAGACCGAAGTGCAACCTGAAATAAAGGCTGAGGATGCTGATCTTTCGAAGAAAAAGGCAAAATCCAGACTTAAGATTCCCTGTATAAAATTCTCAAGAGGGGCAAAACGGAGTAATCACTCCAAAATTATAGAAGATTCAGGCTGTAGCATCAAAGTCCAGGGAAAGGCTAAAACTTTGGATAGTCAAACTCAGACCGAATCTATTGATCAAGCAACCAAGGCTTCCCCTGAAGGCATCTCACAGAAAAATGGTGGTGGGGTCTGTGAATCAAATGTGAGCAACAGCCTAATTTCTGGAGAAAAAGTGATTTCAGTAGAACTTGGATTAGACAATGGGCATTCTACTGATCAAACAGGAACTCTCATTATCGAAAAAGAAATTGAAATAGTCAAGGAAAAAGATATTCAACCTCAGCAAGCAAGCCCATTTGAAATTGTAGAAACAGATCATCAGCAATCAGTTTCCGATGTTCCTCTGTCACCTGCAATCCCATCATATCAGCAGATTATGGGAGAAGCCAGTAACAGTAGCCTAGAAAGTAAACCAAACCGGATAAATTCTGAAAGTACAGAGATTGTAGCTAAAGAGAATAAGCCAAAAGATACTGAATCAAGCCAGGAATCAGACTTTAAAGAAAATGGGATCAGTGCAGAGAAACCCAAGTCAGAAGAAAGCAAAAAAATGGAGCCAATTGCTATTATTATTACAGACACTGAAATCAGTGAATTTGATGTTAAAAAATCTAAAAATGTCCCTAAGCAATTCTTAATTTCAATAGGAAATGAGCAAATAGGGGTTTTTGATAATGATGGTGGTTTTGAGGGTAGAACTTCAGAACAATATGAAACACTCTTAATAGAAACAGCTTCTTCTCTTGTCAAGAATGCTATCCAGTTGTCTATAGAACAGCTGGTTAATGAAATGGCCTCTGATGATAATAAACAATCTTCTACAGTGACTTAATCTCCAGATCACGAGAGAAAAAAAATTAATGATGAATTATTTTACACTTTTGTGGCATTTCTTAGTCAAATGAAAAATTTGTCATCTGTGGATTATTATTATTTTTTTGAGACAGGCTCTCACTCCGTAGTCCGGGCTAGAGTACAGTGGCATAGTTATAGCTCACTGCAACTTCAAACTCATGAGCTCCAGGGATCCTCTTGCCTTAGTCTCCTAAGCAGCTGGGACCAGAGGTGTACAGCATCACACCTGGCTAATCTGTGGAATTTAAAGGTACAATTACTAAAGAATAAGTTTATAAAACTCTACTACTGAAATTAAGTCACTTCTGGATTGGAGGAAGTCAGCACCAACTGCAATGCAAAGTGACATACAGGAAGATGCTAAAATGGCATGTGCAGATTGGAGTGCTTTGGGGAAGGAAGATGTATTTACTGAGTGCTTATGTATGCCATAAGCTCTTTAATGTCCTATGATGTTACAAAGTTTGGTTTCCTTATGATAGTTCAGCCTTTAGGCTAACATCACATCCATTTTTTTTTTT